TGATCTCGATTACGCAACACTATATATATAAACACCATATTATGAAAACATTTCTGAAGAATTGAATTAGGTAACTTAGTAGGCTTTCAGAGCCAACAGAGTATCTTCTAACATAACAATATGATCTGCAGGAAGAATATGGCCTAAAATGACAAATTGTTGAACACTTTTGATTATGTGCAAATCACTAAAACAAACACACAAAACTACATTAACATGGGTTTCAATCTCACAAGGAGGTTTAGAGTGTATTAAAGAAATTTTTGTTTATGTGGAATACCACTCTCATCACCATATCCCTAAGATTATACCATATAAAAGGTTTTATTGTCTAAACGAGACTACAAATCTATTTGATATATTGATGCGACATCATTCAAGCATGGAGAGAATCACAAAAAGTCGTGTTTTGTCATTTGAATTGCAGAATAAGCAGGAATGTTTTGGATAAACTCTAAATAAATATTCTGTAGAGTAAGGTTATATTTTATTTATCTTAATTAAAATGTAACATTTTTAATGCTCTAAAGTCTATTTAATGATTATGAAAGATCCTAGTAAGTAAACATATTGTCATTGTGCTAATTTTTCAATGAAATGCTTGTTTTGAAGAGAATTAATCTATTAATGTCATTATTTACAGAAAAAAAGTATTGTTCACATCTCTTACCATTCAGATGTTGAGGGAACATTGTAATTTTCAAAATTTATTTTAAAACTCCAATTGTTGAATACAGTGATTTTTTTACAGTACTTCTACTAATGAGAAATTAGAAGTTACTGAAGACTTGTGTCCTATGGCTGTATTGGACAAAATAACAGAAATAAATAGTAAACAATCAAGACAGATGATAGGTTCACTGACTCTCAGATTGCCAGAAACTCAGGAGAGATGTAATTCTGAAGATTTTATAGATGATCCCGATGTTCCACCATTAATTTAGTAGTTACAGAAACATCACTGGTAAGTAATTTTTAGTAATATTTAAAATAACCAAATTAATTACAAACAAAGGTTTAGTTTTTAAATCAAACATTTTGATTTAAAAAACACAATGTTAGGAAAATGAGATGGTATTTATACCTGTTAGTTTTGTACCACAGGTAGGGTGACCAGATGTCCCAGTTTTATTATAAAGACATCAAACTGTCAGTCACTTCGAATCACAAATGTAAGAGACTTACTTGACTTGCTCATTTTTTTGTAATATGCCCAACTCTCCTATAAGTTCCATCTGTGCATAGTGAGTTGTAACATGCATTCTCCTGCCATCAAACTCTTCCAAAAGTTCCATCTGTGTGCATGGTGAGTTGTAACATGATTCTCCTGCCATCAAACTCTGTCATAAGTTCCATCTGTGCATGGTGAGTTGTAACATGCATTCTCCTACCATCAAACTCTTCCAAAAGTTCCATCTGTACATGGTGAGTTGTAACATGATTCTCCTGCCATAAAACTCTTTCATAAGTTCCATCTGTGCATGGTGAGTTGTAACATGCATTCTCTTACCATCAAACTCTGTCATAAGTTCCATCTGTGCATAGTGAGTTGTAACATGCATTCTCCTGCCATCAAACTCTGTCATAAGTTCCATCTGTGCATGGTGAGTTGTAACATGATTCTCCTGCCATCAAACTTTCCCATAAGTTCCATCTGTGCATGGTGAGTGGTAACATGATTCTCCTGCCATCAAATTCTGTCATAAGTTCCATCTGTGCATGGTGAGTTGTAACATGATTCTCCTGCCATAAAACTCTTTCATAAGTTCCATCTGTGCATGGTGAGTTGTAACATGCATTCTCCTACCATCAAACTCTTCCAAAAGTTCCATGTGTGTGTGGTGAGAAACCCAGATCTGTATAGGTTTTTTAGTCAGTAGTACTGTAGTAGAGCTAGAGTAGTTGGTGAACAGTTAAACATCAGAGACATTTCTCTATGATATTTTTTATTATTGAAAATGTTTAACCTATCATAGTGTCAAAATGCCAAAAGGAAAGTGTGTTTTTTCAGATATTTTGAAAGCAGGCTTTTCTTTTTTACAGGTAAGTGAGTTGGATAACAAAGTTGAGTACGCTATTTGCAAAACTGTGTTTTTGATAGCACACAGTTAAAATTGGACATTACGTATCACGCTGCCAAGATAAAGCACAAGGACCATTTTGAAACTCGGGGCAAGAGCTGGGCTGTCTCATTTTTTGGAAATCTGGTCACCCTAGACACAGAGTTTGTAGCTTTTGTCCATTTACTATTCACATTATAAATTATGAAACCATGAATATATCTAAAGTTTTCCTTAGATATTCATAACACATGTAAATGTATTAGCTTAAAAGTTCTACAGTGCAACTTAGTGCAGTAATGTGTTTTAACAGTTGATCCAAATGTCAATAACTTTTTCCATATTTGGTGACAATATGATTAATGATTATATTGAGTTGAACTAGTGTCTAAATACAATTTTGCCATTATTAATAGAATTGTTCTTAATCACAATGCTACACATAGGGCTATGTGTGTTGTGGCCATCATAGGTATAAAAACCTGGTTGTTAGCATTATAAGCCCACTGACTTACTGCAAACTCACTGGAGGGAAATCTTTTTGATATTCATTGTATGTGCATGTTCTAATCTTGCATGTAACAAACTGATAACAAACATACCTATATGGTGTCTATTTCTGTGAAAATATATTAAATAACTCAGACATTTTTTACTTGTTCCAGATAAATGTTTTTCCTGTGAATTATAAGTCAGAAATATATTTTAAAGATAGCTAAAAGTGTTACATTTATTTTTCACATTCATAAGTTGATTTTCAAATACTCAAATATGTGATGATTGCTATAGCTGGATTTTTTTAAACATGTCTAGAATTATAATGCTAAATCATAATAAATAAATATTAATGGGCAATTAATCATAACCAAATTTATTTTTATTTTTAAAAATTATCTAAATCAGAATTTTTATAAAAGTAAACTATTTTTTTCAGGATATTTTAAATAAACAGAAAAGTTTTCTTTACAAAGTTTGCATCAATTGTGGATGGCTTTCATCCTGATACTGCTGGTAAAGTTTCAAAACATCTTTAATAGTTTAATATTACTTTGTGGCTTTCTCAACATATAAACTATTATTCTTCCAAAGACACTGGATGAAACATAGGATATTACAACGTTATTCTTGGAACTGCTGGTAATTTTAACATTGGCATAATACTAGAAATGCTTCACACCATATTAAGACAACTGAAGAACCTGTAAGCAATTATGAAAAAGCTCACAATATGTTATTTAACTAAAACCAGTTAGAAAGTTTATTTAGATTAGATTCAGGGCAAGTTTTAAAATGTTCCAATAAGCATTGTACTTGTTTTATTAGGAAGTGAATAATTATGTCATACTATATAAAGGTTTAAACATTTTTTTTGTTTCGTAATTCGATAAATATTTCACCAAACATTAATTTATACTAATTCTTGAGATATATAATCTTCATCTAAAATAATGCCATTTTTTAAGTTTTTTAGTAAGTTGAATATATATTATTATTATAAGGAAATAATAAGTGATTCTTTGTAATGACCTTTAGTCCTAATTTTTATACTTCTATTTCCTTTGGATTATAAAAATTGCAACAGTGCTGGTAATTGGACTATGTAATTGCTATATAAGTGTTAGTAGAGTCAATGACTTTTATTTTATTTGCTTAGTATTTAGAACAAAATACAATGAGGTATGTGTGACAAAGTGTTTATTCAATTTTAGTGATAATAATAATAAAATATTATAAATTTAATAACTTACTAACAGTGTCATGCAGATCAGTTACATGATATACTTTAGTATATAATTTCCATAGATACAATATGCTCTTTAATATGTTAGGCATTGTGTCAAATAATATTTTAACTTTGACTATTTTAATCTTTATTTGTGTGGTGTTTCTTCAAAATTTAAAACAGTAATTATTGAACTTTACATGAATTTATAACATGCAGTATATCTCATGAGTGTCACATTTACAGATTACATTAGATAGTGAAGTATGATAGAGGAAAACAGTATTTTAAAAAGAAAAAATTACAAATAATAAAAGTGTTTATAACAAGATGGTCTGAAATGGCCTTGCACAGTAGTTTGTATTAAATCATTTCATATTTTTTTTGGTAATAATTAAAATTCAGTGTCATTTTGTACATGTATTATCATTATATTTAGTTGAGTTGAATAAAGCTACATGTAGAATGTTTGATTATTGTAAATATTATTTATGAAAGACTTGCATATGGGAACACAATACCTCAACTTTATATTTGTTTATAAGTCGTCATATTTCCATGCCCATCCAATCTGAGATTTTTTTTTTTTTCAAGACATTTAGTATGTAACATTTCAGTTATAATTACGTGTTACCTTATTCCTTAATACGTATTTCTTCTCAAGAGCAGTTCATGCACCCTCCATTCTATTATTAGTTAACTTTACAATATTCATGAGTATATCCTCATTTCTCTGTTACATCTTGCATCTAAATTATCTACAATATCCTTTAGTATATCATTTTCATAGGTACAATATGCTCTTTCACATGTTTCTAAAAGCTTAATTTCCAAATTTTGTTTATAGATGTGCAATTTTTCAGTTTCCCTTTGGAGACTTTTTTTATTTAGTTCTATCCCCCCCTTATTAATAACTGAATTTTATCATGGCTTAACAATTACCAAAATGGAAGACTTAGCCAAGAAACAGGAAATGTTGCACATTCATATTCAAGAAACAAAAGATATTAAAAGTTTATCAGCCATTAAAATTTTGGAACTTTTAAAAATTCTTTAGATTTTCTTCAAAATTGGATAAGATTGGATTTATTTATATAAACTGTTTTTTTTTATGGATTTAACAAATGGAATTAAGATTTTTTAATCTGAACTGTACTTTATGCATACATAAGCTAAATGGCCAGCTGTAATCATCACTAATTTTGAACTGCTCACTAACTGGAAGCAGCTTGCCAGCCTTACCCACTGCGACAAGGACTTCATTGTGCTCTGTGAATCAAATGTTGGGATTACCTGTCACTTTCATAACACTCACAACTGAAAATAATAAGTTTGTTTAGTGGTATCATGTTTCTAACCCTGAACCCTTCAATCCAAAGCCAACCATAATAATTAATGCATTTTACAAATTAAAAAAAAAAAACAGTAAAAAATATTTGTGGTTAAATTTTTTTGTACTGTTGCGTCAGCGAGGTCACGTGACTAGTATCACGCCACGTATTTCTAGAAATATCCTCTTCCTTCAAGAATGGCCTAGCATTTACTAGATATATGTTAGTCTGGTATATATATATATAAGATGCTCACAACGTGACGGGACAACAGTGTAATGAGTAATTGAATGTATGCGGACAAAATATTGTTGGCCACGTGAGATATAGCGTTTGTTATAGCGCGACTGTTGAAATTAAGTAAAGTTGTATTCGGAAATAATAAACCAGTTTTATTAAGTAAGGACTTGTGTCGCTAAAGTTTCGTCGGAACGAAGTTACAGAAAATCAACTAACGAACGGAGATGTAACAAATTTGTGTCAGAAGTGGGATAG